TTAAAAAAAAAAAAAAAAAAAAAAAAAAAAAAAAAAAAATCTTTCCATAAGCTATTTCTCAAAACAGAAAGAAACAAAAACAAAAAAACAAAACAAACAAAAAAGTTTGCATGAAAAGCAAGCACTCAGAAGGAAATATTAGCAGCAAAGTAGTTATAAATGTCATGAGTCCACTCTGTCTCGAGTCATCGGTTATTAAAAATAACCTCCAACCAGCACGGGCAACTGCTGATAAACTGTCTTGTGTAGCACTGGCCCCAGCCCTTCACAAAGCTGATCTGAACAGTAAAGCCGGTCCATGGTTGCTGCATGAACTCATGGTCGTTAGGCCTCTGTAAGCTGTATGCCTTCTCATAGTCAAAAGCCTTGATGGAAAATCCTGGAAACACTTTGTGAACCAGCAACGTCCTGGAGTCGGGGTTGTCCAGTGTGGCCGACTTGATAAAGATTGGGTAACTGCTGCGGTTGTATACCCATACGCCGTCCACTTCCTTGGTCAGCTGGATGCCGTAACCAATTTTGCTGCGGACTTTCTGCACCAGCTGGCTTTTGTTGTCTGAATTGAGCTGTCCGAGGCAGAAACCGTTCCCCTGAGGTAGATCATAGAAGATATCCAGGGAGGGCTCTTGGACAGAATACAGCCGACCCACGCGCGTTTTCTCTTCCCAGTATGCCACCACGCACCAGTGTGACCGATCCCCCGGCTCCTGAAGAACTTGGGAATCTAGAGAAAGGGGCAGAAAAAATGGGAAATTTAATAAAGCAGGGAAAATATAATCTAATAAATACACAGCACTTATGGTACACTGCCTCCAGAAAGGGTGTTAAAGTACACAAGAGATCCAAGGAAGAGAGACACACGTCCCACGCTAGAGGAAGACAACCCCCCTCCAAGTCTGTACCCATCTAACTAGGGGTTAAAATTCTTTCCAACTATCCTTAGCCCAAGCTTTCAGAGGTGAATTCTGGATGCCCAACCCAACATAACCAAAAGGACCCCAATTTTCCACAAATGCTATGGACTTGTCCACTAGAAGTATCTCAGACTGGACCTACAGAAATTAGTATGTCCCAAATAAGCTTGGGACATCTCCCAAATGTGGCAGGGGCCTTTGAGATGAATCTCTCCATTAGGCTCCGTTTCCCAAAAAGTAACAGACTCAGATTCCCGTGACGTATTTAGGCACCCGTTTGGTGCATATTAGGTGCCTACATGTCTCTGAAGACCTGGGGGCTTCACCCAAGTCACTTGCCCAAAACCACTTAGATAACATTTTCAAGAGCCCAGGCCATAAACCCTCTGAGGCAGATTCCCAAGGGCTCTTTAGGTGCCTCAAGACACAGCAAGGCACCTGGCCAGGTTTTCAGAAGCAATTTAGGCATCTAACTTGATGCCCACCTACTTCAGTGCTAATTGTTTTCAGTGGGAATCAGGCTCCCAATCTGCTTTGGCACCTTAGAAAAACTCCATTAAGTACCTGTCTGCATCTTTAAGCACTTTAATACCTTTGAAAATCTGGCCCTTCAGGCACAGTGCCCAGGAGAGAAAGAGGAAGAGTCAGCACTGTGTGCTCACACACAGACTGTGTTTGCAGCACAGCCATTCCAGTTAAGCATGTTTAATAATCAGCCAAACCATGTCTCCACTGTGGGCTTGTATTGCTCTAATGATGCCAATGGGGTTAAAATTTCCAACTAGCGCGTTTGGGGCATGGCCTAGTGAAAAGGGACTTTAGGAACTCCTCTGACACACGCCTGCTCCTTCCCATCTCTAGCCTCCTTAGCAGCCCTAGAGCGTAGATGAGAACAATGTACGTAGCTGGGGCATCCCAGACAGCAGTTAGTTGATGCCTATGGATATGTCTTCACTGCACAATGAAACTAAGCTCTTACTTGAATGCTGCACTCAGCTTTCCCCATATCTACAGCGTCTTCATAAAGTCCTTGTGCACAGCCTAAGTTATTAAAGATTAAAAGTGCACAAGGACTTAATGAAGACCCTGTACGTACAAAACCCTGCGACTCCCAAGCATGGTGGTACGCTATACCCGGACTCGGCGGCCCACACTGGAGCAGACTAAAGCCCGCGGATGGGGGCCCTGTAACTCAAGCAGGACTTTGTCAAGCGGGCAGTCGCATCCCGGCAGGCTACCCAGGTGCCGATCATCAGACATAACTCTGCAGTGAAGACGCTCTCTCTGAAGTCTTCTGAAGCCGAAAACTGCTAAGCGCCGAACCTACAGACTTCTGAACGCAGCAACTGATTCCCTCCTCACCATCAACCCCTAGCTGCAGATAATCAATTTGGGCAACAGTAAATCAATGCAGATAACGTAATACTAGAGTCGCTAATCAGCTGCAGAAATCTTCTCTATGTGAAGCGTGGGTAAGCCAGGAGGCCAAAGGTACCCACAGTCTTGCATGCATCATACATCACTCTGCTCTGAAAACACTTTCAACCAGATGAGCTTTGCTTCATGTGTAATTCCCCCCCACCCCCAAAAGGGGAGCCATAAAAGGAGAGTTAAATATGGCTTAGCAGGAATGGAGGGGATGGCAGATCATCTGCTGTAATTTACTGAGCCTATTTACGCCTATAGCCGGAGCCCTGGTAATAAATGCTATGATTCAGACGTCAGATGAACTATAAATCTGCCTGAGCTGCAGTTAAGACTGTGGTTTGTGGTGGCAGGGTGGAGACCGGAAGTCTTGCATTTGTTAACAAAAACGGAAAAAAACCCCTCGGTTCCTTTCGGCCTTCCCTCCTGGCTGCTTCTCTCTCTTTCAACCGTATCACGAGGCCTAAGACACCGGGGTGAAAATGGGGGTGACAGGAGAGAAAGGGAATGAGCTCTCTCCTCCTCGTCGGTATGTGGTGCAATGCACCTCGGCTTTGTGCTGCTTTGGTAACAGCTCTTTCACAGACATGTTAAGACCTGGGAACTATTAATCTCCAAATGCTGAAAGCAAACAAGCTCAGGACTGAAAGTTCAAAAAAAAAAAAAATCACACCAATCCCCCCAGATCAACCTGGGGAAGACAGCAACCAGGAGCCAGCAAACCAACAAGCCGGCCACATTCCCCACACCCATCCCGGCGGCCAGGGTTACGGCGCCTGCTATTTCTTCCTCGCAGACTTCCACCCACCGAACAGAGCCCAGGAAATTCCCAAAGCAAGGAGGGTGGAAACACAGTGGTTAAATCAGCGAGTCCATCTGCTCCACTTTCTGTGCCTTTTCACTATTAAAAAGTCTCTTCCCCGCTCAACCGTGCATTTTACAGTCCTCCAAGTCTGTTTAGTACAGCGCTGTGCTCTTTAAAAGAAAAAAAAAATCCAGCCACATACTTTTAAATTTCCTTATTTCTATGCCAGTGAGGAAAATATTTCTCCACTTGCTGGAGGCAGCTACTAAAAATGGGCCCGACTGCACACGCTAGAAAACTGGGAAGATAAGCGGCTGCTGATCCTCTGCCCACCGCGACCGGGACTGGAGGGGGCCGGGGCGGAGAGGACCGGGAGTCCCGTCGATTCAGGGGGCTCCAGAAAGAGAGAAACTGCCTCCCAGGTTTGCAAGAGTCAATCTGCCTCCTTTTAGGTGTGCCCTGGTTTGTCTTTCAGCCTCCCCCTTCTGGTGCCTCACAATACTTTGTTTCATATAACTCTATCCCACTGAAACCTGGCACCAAATAAGCAGCAAGCAGGGGGAAAAAAGCTGAGTGAGGGAAGGGGAGGGAGGAGAGGAGGTAGTAGTGGGGTTGGGAAGAGACCAAGCCACGATCAAATTACCTTTAACCTAACCTTCTGCAACTTGCCTCCGTGTACAGTCTTGGGGAAGGAAAGGGGGGAGAGCTCACACTTGACTACATCCCTGTGCGAGGAGACAGAAAAGGCTTTTGCTTCCCTGAAGGAGAAATTAAAAAGGGGGGGGAGCAATTTTGAGAAAGAGGGGGGGACCCCAAAACCAGGAAGCACAGCTGAGCCAAATGCCCTGCCTGTAGCCACCCTATTTTGTGAAAGAAAATCCCTCAGACTGCATTTTTTCCTTTCATCTCTGCAGCCCGCCAGTCCACCCAGCAATTTGCAGACAGACGTCAGTACAGAGAAGAGAAGTTTGCAGATTATGTTAATTGCCAAGCCCAGATAAATTGCAGCTCGTGTGCACGCGCGCCTCTCGCTCTCCCCCTGCATGGCCCGTAAAACTGTAATCTCATCACACACTGGGTTTCCAGACTCTCTGGATCCTGCTTTGCTTTTAAAACAGCCCCTTGCGCGGTGCCCTGGGGGTCAGATCCTGATGGTCCTCTGCAAGCGGTGGGGACCGAGGTTTGTTGCGGAAAGTTAGGAGTTAACACCAGGGCTGGTCCCAGTTACACTGGTGTAACCTGGAGGTGACTGCACCAAAGGCCAGACTGAATTGGGGCCGAAACAGATACGGGTGTAAACCTGTGTGGCGGCAGAACTGGGTTGACTCTGGATTCATGCTGGCAGAGCGCACATGAGAATCAAGCCTGCCACACTTTGGAACACAGGGAGTTATAAAATGTTATGTGTATGCATCCAAGTTTGTTTTTTTTAAAAGATATTTTAACTAGCTGTTTGTTTAAAGAGGCAGGAAACAAAACCCATGCTGTAAAAAAAATTAAAAAAAAAAAAGCTAATCAGATGCCTGGAGCTCACATTTTTTTGTTTTACTGCAGTTAAGGGAATTTTGGAACAACCGGCATGGAACATGCTGAATCTCACTGACATTTCTTTAAGTTTTTATTTATTTTCTCTAACATAAAAGCACCCCTTTCAGAGGAGGGTGGCAGGAGGGGGGGATTAAAAAAAAAAAAGCCCATTTCACCTCATGTTTGCACTTGCATTAGAGAAGACCACTTAACAAGCAGCTCATTGCCACTTACAAAGAGATATTTAATTGCCAGCACGCAAAAAAAGCTGCCCTGGCTATGAATGAACAGACCTTTATGGAAGTCGGGAAGTTCATGAATGAATCCCACTAGGCTTTTCAATGACATGGGGTGACCAGACCTCAAGGACAAGTTTTAGGTAATCAGGAATTTTTTTTCAATGAGCTAGTGCCAAAGCACAGTATAAATATGTCAAAGTGCCTTCCGTTCGAGGGGCCGAGCTGTTGACTGGCCGTCTGGTCGTGAAGCCATGAGGATATATGGGGACGGCTCAGATAAACAGGGTTAGTCCTTGCTGCTGGCCAAGCTACAAAGTCACCAAAGACGCTTTTCGCAATTATTTTTGTCCATTGCTATGGGCCGATACTTCCTCCGTTCTCCACACTATCTTGGCACTGCTGCTATAAGGTCTTGTAAGCCTGTAACGAGCTTGGCTACGTCTTTTGACCGGTGTCTGTAAGAGGAAGATTTGATGAAAATTTTCCACAGTGAACTCTAGGGGAAGCTCAGAAATGTCACCCAAAGCTTCACTGGTTTGTAGTGTTGTTGCTCCTTGCTCTAGAGAGCTCCCTGTCCATACCAGAAGGCAGCACGTGGTGACCGAGTTGCTTGAAGCACTTCAGAGGTAGGTGCGATTTCTGCGCTGCAGTCCTGTTCCCTACACGCCACCACCAGTGCAGAAATCATGCCACCCCCCCCGGCTCCAGCCAGGCTGTAGCCCCATGCCTTGCAGTTGGTGCAGAAATCTGGCGCAAGGGGGCATGTCCCCCCCCACGTGCATTCCCCACACTTCGCCTATACAGGAGAGTACAACTGGCCTCAGTTTTACAGAGGCATGGTAGTATTTCAAAATTTGACAAAGGCAACCGAAACTTAGAATCCAGGTGCCCTGCCATACGCACCCGAGGGCCTG